GCTGGGTACAATTCTTGGTTGGAAATTTGTCCCTTTCAGGGTTTTATGTTTACCATCCCATTGCCTTCTTGCTTGCATGGTCTCTGCTGATAAATAAGAGCTTTTTCTTACTGGTTGTCCTTTTTAAGTAACTTTTTGTTTTTCCCATGCTGCTTTCTTTGTCTTTGGTTTTGATGAGTTTGGTGATGATAGGTGTTGGTGATTTTCTTTTGGGGTCTATCCTGTTTGGGGTTCGTTGGACTTCCTGAATGGATATGTTCTCATCTTTTATCATATCAGGGAAGTTTTCCTCCAACACATCTTGGACAATTTTCTCAGTGGTTTTTTCATTTTCTTCCTGTTCTGAAATTCTAGTGACACATAGGTTATTCCTTTTGATGGTATCCCACATGAACCTTAGGCTATCTTCATTTTGTTTTGATCTTTTTTTCTGACTAATCCCTTTCCAAAGAAGTGTTCAGATATTTGTTTTCAAACTCCTTAATTCTGTCTTCCATTGCATCAATTCTACTCCTTTGCCCTTTCATTATGTTACCTATTTCAGACAATTTAGTATTAATCTTCTGGATTTCTGTCTGTAGATTTAGAATTATTTCTAATTTTTCATTTATTTTGTCAGTTTGTTCTTGTATTTTCTTCCAGCATTCTTCTAGGATTTTGTCTGTGTTTTCTTTGGTCTGTCTCTCAATCCTTTGAAGATAGTAAATATAATCCTTTTGTATTCCTTATCCAAGGGCTCCAGTGCTGCTGCTTTCTCCAGGATGTGTTCTGGGTCTGTATCCCACTCCCTTGTTTCTACCACTTTATCTTGCTTCTTTGTGTGGACTGTGATGGTCTGTTGTCTCCGAGACAACGTGGCATTATTGTATTTAGATCTCTGTTAACTGTTTGTGAAGAGCAGCCAACGTTGAGTCAGGCTTTTGGTGGTTGTTTATCGTTGGCCCATTGGTGGAGAAGGAAGTGGTGTCTCTCACTCAGTAAGTGAAGCTGCAGGGGTGTGGGTGTAATTGTGTCATATGGGGACTGTTTCTGTCTTCCACTCAGTTAGACAAAAATAACAGTTGAATAACTATGAAAAAATAAAAGAAAATGGGCGAATAATATAAGAAAAAAGGGGAAAAGAAAAAGAAAAAAAACCCTGAAATATCTGAGGAGAGGGCAATAGGAGGAGAAGGTAGACAAAGAGAAAAATGAAGAAAAAATGGGAAAAGCACAAAAAGGAAAACAAGGAACAGGGTTAAACATGAGAAAGAAAAAATTACAACCAGGAACAGGGAAAAGAGCAAAAGGTTAAAACTAGAACCTGGGAGGGGAAGAATAAATGTAAAAAAGGACAAAAGTAATAATAATAGTAGTAGTTTTAAAATAGAGAAAAACAAACTAAAAAACAAGAAAATGAAAAAAACATGGGAGCAGGGTGGGGCAGGGCATCCAGGCTTCATCTGAGCACACAGACTGGGATGGAATTCCTGCTGCCCCAGAAATTGGGTGGGAGGGAGGGATGGCCGTACCTCCGTTCCTCAAGAGGGTATGGGCTATAAGAGTAACAAGAGGAATGTTATACCTTTCCAGTCATCCATGTCTGGAATGTCCTTGGGGTTACTGGAAGTGGAACCTCTTCTTCAGTCCCTGGAATCTGGGAGAACGCTGTCACTTTAAGTATCCAAAATTGTCAGGCCACTTGTAAACATTCAAAATGGCTGCGCCCTCCCATCAGGCATAAATACACAGCTCAGCCTGTCATCCTCTTTGCTGCTTCCCCTTTTATTCCCCAGCCACCAGAGCAGTCCTCTGTGCAGTCCCTGGCTAGCAGGCCAGATTTTTAGGTTAATTCTTAGGTCCTACCACCACTTGGCAGTATCCAAGCTATCTGTGCTGTCAGGATCACTGCCAGACTGCACCTCTGTATGTCTTCTTTTTTGGTGTTTTCATGCAAATTCTTCTACTAATTGGAGTTTAGTCCACTTTTATATCCTTCCCTTCAAGGCTCAGGGGTCCAGGATTATCTTCTGTATCTGTGTTAATTGGTTCCCTTTTTCTTTGTTGAACAGGGTCTGTGCAGTCTTGCTGCCTGTACCACCACCTTACTGGAACCTATCCATCTTCTTTTGATGTTTCCTGCATCATTCAACATACTGCCCATGGGATCTTTCAGTATTACAATTCAAGGCTTAAATTTTTTCCTCAGTTCTTTCACCTTGAGAAATGCTGACCACGTTCTTCCCTTTTGGTTTTTAACTCCAGGTCTTTGCACATTTCATTGTAATACTTGACTTTTACCATATCGAGCTGCTCTTTGAAATATTCTGTTCAGTACTTTTATTCTGTCAATTCTTCCATCTGCTTTAGCTACTCTCCGTTCAAGGGAAAGTTTCAGAGTCTCTTCTGACATCCATTTTGGTATCTTTTTCCTTTCCTGTCTTTTTAATGATCTTCTGCTTTCTTCGTGGATGATGTTCTTGCTGTCATCAACAATTCCTCTGGTTTTGGGTCATTGGTGTTCAGTGCATCAAATCTGGTCTTTAGGTGGTCTCTAAATTCAGGAGGGATATAATCAAGGTCATATTTTGGCTCT